ATCCGGACTTTGCACGACTGCTTTCCGGGTCTGACAGCGGAGTGTCTGCAAAAGGCCGTCCAAACGTATTTGCAATCTACGGAACGCAAAACACATTCCTCTTTGCAGCACGGACAGAGGCGCAAAAGGTCGAATGGATTTTGAAGATTGACGAGAGCTACTTTAGCAATGGAGCTTCTCGTCCTTCACCCAACGGAAATTAATGTGACGTTCGATATCAAAAGCTGGTTCTGCATGGCTTTCCCCAAAACGGAGCTATTGACTCATGCTGTCACTTGTACATTCTACGTGTTCTGTTGACTGGCTACCCTCCCAAGTCGAACAACTTTTTATTCCTTTCTACTTTTCTGTGAGTTGGTTGAGCCAAGGGCCTGGCGTCTATACATAATTCGTTGACTGCAGCCTCTATTTCTGTCTTTTCTGGTTCCTTTTGAGATACCCCTGAACACATACATCTGCTACTTGTGGCACTCGGATCCCCTTGTACATATCTGAGATATATTGTTCTAAGACATAGATTCGACCAGTTGATATAACACGAAAGGCCTGGGCCTCCACAGGCGGCAGTGCCATTGTCTATATTATTTCCCTTAATTTCCGAAGAAGAATGCACGAAGAGACACAGGGCTTTCGTCGAGCCTGTCCTCTGACGATGTCATATCAAGATTGTCCTGTTGCCATGGTAACACTGGCACATGTTTATCATACCGAAAGCGATAGAGCTTCGATAAGCGAAGACCGTCAATTGTCAAAGTACCTACTAAGTACTCAATTTTACTGTTCAGAGTCTGCTCCTACATTATCATCTGCATCTATCTATATATACTACTTCGTTGTGCGAGTGTAATCCCAATGCGCTGGACGCAGGGACAACCCCCCCGGACCCGCTTCCTGGTTCCAGGCGCCGCAATCTCACTGATCATCGTCACATTCCTGATCCTGGGATCTCGATATTCAACCGACTATGCCAAATACGCCCTGAAGAATTCCTTCAAGACGATCCCGCCAAGCGCTCACTGTTCCTCGACAAACCACACCGAGACGGAATGGGAGTTTGTGGTTCAGCGCGATGGAGATGACCACGCTCTTTCCGATGAGCAGTGTCGGATAGCGTTCCCGAAGCTCTTTGTTGAGATTGAGAAGACTGCAGCCCTGAGGAAGGGGAGAAAGATTACGTTTAAGGAGGTGGATGATGTTGTGGTCGAGGAGGGGATGGTGCGGGCCGCGGTTTGGAGGGGAGAGGTAAGCAGTTCCTGTTGGTGGCGCGTCTACTCGTCCGTGATCGGTTCATTTTTAATGGTGTATGAGTTAGTTGTATATCATTGACTATGCGGCACAGCCGTATACGTACTCCCGGGCGAAAGCAACGCTGAACTCCCTGCATCGCGCCCTGCAGTCAATTCCGGATCGACACCGCCTGCCCAATATTGAGTTTGTATTCACGGCGGATGATTTCAGCAATGTTCCAGGGCCTGTTTGGTCGTATTCCAAGCGCGACGAGGACGAGAGTATCTGGCTCATGCCGGACTTTGGGTACTGGGCGTGGCCGGAAGTCAAGGTTGGCCCGTACAAGGATATCCGGAGGCGCATTGCTGCTGTGGACGAGGGCGAAGTCTACCCCGACGGCACCTTGGTCTCCGGAATGAATTTCAAAGAGAAGAAGAAGCAGCTCGTGTGGCGCGGCAGCGTGGCGACGAACCCCGAGCTCAGGGGAAAGTTGCTGAAAGCAGCGCAGGGAAGAAGTTGGGCCAGCATTCGGGTTATCGACTGGGACAACGAGAATGATGTGCGGTACAACCTGCTGCCGATGGAGGAACACTGCCGGTACATGTTTCTGGCGCATACGGAAGGGCGCAGCTTCTCCGGCCGCGGGAAGTACCTGCTCAACTGCCGCTCGGTGGTCGTCTCGCACAAGCTGGTCTGGCGAGAGGCGCACCATGCGGCGCTGATTGCGTCCGGTCCTGAAGCGAACTACGTGGAGGTTGAGCGGGACTTCTCAGACCTCGATCGGAAGATCAGCTTCCTCATTGATAATCCTGAGATTGCGGAACGGATCGCCGATAACGCCATGAGAACGTTTCGTGATCGATACTTGACTCCAGCGGCAGAGTCGTGCTATTGGAGACACCTGATTAGACAGTACGCTGCTTCCTGTGACTTTGAGCCTGTCCTGTATAACTCCCCACAGAATGGGGAAAGGCAGGCGCGAGGGGTTCCCTTCGAAACATGGCTTCTCACGGGCTCTCGTGTGAAATGAAAATCATAATGATAATGTTATATTTCTGTGCATATACATGGAGTTATGGGGATATGGTCTCTCATGCTTTGCTTACTTACTCATCTATATACTTCTCTTTACGAATTTATATTGACGCCTTGGACTATGAATGTCAATCTATCAACTTACATTGCAGTTGTCTGTTTTTCTCATCCTTGCTTCAACGCCAGAATATAGACGGGACAAGTCTAAAAGGCTCTTAAAGAATGCATTTGAGACGGGTTACCTAATTGGGAGATCTGAGGGCACCAGGCACACAACATCTGCTTTCTACTTTTCAACTCTCTCCCTTCCTTTACTTTTTCATCTCTTTCATCACCATGTACTCTGACATCATCATGCAATTGCCTGCACGGCGCATTAAAGCCTTTATTAAATCAACCAGCTGAAGCAGACTGATTGGCTTGACTCTTTGTCAATCTTGAGATAGACTGCGTCCGATCGTATCCGCTTTGCGATCTAGTCACTTGAAACCTCATGGAAGATGATCATGAACTTTGATGCTGATCATCAGCCCATTATGCGCAAGTGAGCTCTTCGAATTTTCCGGTTGGTCTTGGTTTGCTCCTCGACTTACCTAGAGTGCCTCGGTGACTTGGTACAAGCATGCTGGATTCTCTGCCACACATTAGGATTGGTTTGCCTAGACCTTGGACACCGAGACTTTGGGTTCAGCGGAATGAAAGAGTCTCGCATGACGGTCCTTCGAATGATAGACACGCTGTACGCATTCACTGTGATTCAAGCCAGTGAGTTTAATGGAAAATACATCGATGCGGCAACATTTGAGGCGAAGTTGCTAATCTCATGGCTCGGCGTTGTCATCCCAGCCCTAGATGCAGATCATCAACTTGCGGGGTGGAGGTCTTCTGATGGAAGTGTCATTCTAAGAATTATGACTTTCTGCCAAGCTGCCAACACAGCTGATAAGGGCCATACGCCATCGGAGTTGGTGGTAACTAACAATTTGTTAGCGAAGATGACGGGCAATCATCCACGCCATAGCAGACCTCTCTTTGAACACCGTCGGGCTTTTTCAGTATCGGGCACAACTTCGGTGATGAATTCCCTTTATCCTGCGTACTTTTTCGATTCTAAGTCCTCCGAGGGCGCATAATAGTCTGTATGATACCACCAACTGACCCGGAATAAGTTGATGATCGACAAGGCACACCTTACATACGCAGGAATCCCTTGCGCACTTGGCCATGTGTCATGATTCTGATAGACGGCACTTCTTCTAAGCCTAGTGGCATTCTTGAATTTGGAAAACGGGGGACCTCCATTACTTGCCTCTCTAATGGACAACAAACTCACCGGCTGGGCTTCTGGGAATCAATCCAAGTCACATGGCACATGAATCTTCTTGTTGTTTTTGTTCATATTGGACAAATCAATCAGTGTTTCCTTCCTCAATTTCCCGACTTTCCGAAGGCGTCTGACACCAGATCATGCATGGCATTTGGAAGTCTCGATCATCGTGATTGGCTTGATTCATACCGACCGTCAGTAGACAAACAAGGGTCCGATGTCCACAGTCCACTAGTACTTGTGGGAGGAAGAAAAAAAGGGCAGAAGCAGGGTGAAGTTCTTTGGAGAGACCCTGTCGTGTGTTCAATTGAACTAATATGGGAGCCTCTCGCAACGATCGTTGCAACACTCACTCTGTTACTCCTTGCAGTAACTATCTGTTCACCATCATTCCCACCACAGGGGCCTCGATCTTTATCACCAATAGTCCGAGCAAACTACATTTCTCAGGCATGGGCGGTCTGCATCGCCCTTGCGTCGCGCACTGATCGGATAATGCGCTCTCCATGTACCGTTTACAGGTCACAGTGTCGGAGCAAAGTATCCGTGTGCCATGATCAAGGGTCATATTCCTGCTACTAAATCATCAAAGACTCGATAGATGACAGTCCCCACAAATGATCTGCAGCTCGGCATCGGTACTTCCCCACAACTCATACTTCGATTCCCGTTTTCGGATATTCTTGAGTCTTCAGGTGATAGTGGATTTCTAGAAGGCGTCGCTTTCGCTTTGTTGGGCCATCTTGGCCATACAGATCACAGACTTATTGAAATTCCTGAGCTCTCGAGGATCCACGAGGGCCCAGTGACCGAGTGCAACAGTAGTATGGACAGTACCTTAGTCCATCGGCCATTGCTCCGAACGTCAGAAATGCGCCACTTCAGCCAAACGATGGGCCAGACATGGTTCACTATTGCTAACTATTGTTGTTTATTTTGACAACCCAATAAATGTCCGATGATACCAAATGTTGTTTCTGCAGCGATCCTTGCCTGATATGCTGCACGATGCGCCCAATGTTCAGGCCAGCAGACCCAGCCGCTATCTCAATGCTCGAATCCACTTGCTGCATACTTGTCGTGGGACGATATCGCATGACTGCTGATTTCGTCAAAGAAAATTTGATTAATGAGAGTTGTCGAGAGCCAATTCAGTCTATGGAATGCCAGTCATCCTTTTCTCGGCAGCGCCGAGGGCATTTGAATATAAAGCAATGACGCATCCCAAGCTCTACAGACGTAATGCAGAATTCTTTCTTACGTTGATCTCAAGACAGATCGTCATATTGTGAGCTTGAGGTCCGCTGATACAGCAATTAAGCTCGACGATCTCTTCCTTCTATCTTAGTCCATCCGTTCTACAAGCATGTGGATTACTCGACCAACGTTCTGGGCCTTAGGCCTTACTGCCATGACAGCTGCCTTCGCTTCCCCCGTTGAGAAGCGAGCTAGAGGACCGTGGATGGCAATCAATTCCGACTTTCCAGACCCTAGTTTCGTACAGAGCGCGGACGGGGCGTGGTATGCCTTTGGCACAAATGGCAATGGCAAGCGCGTCCAGGTGGCTAGGTCGGCGGATTTCAGCTCATGGACTCTTCTCGACAAAGAGGCATTGCCAGCTCTTGCAGGGTGGGAGACTGAAATAGATCATTGGGCTCCGGACGTCATCAGGAGGGTATGTGCTCTTATATCTTTCTACTCAGCAGCAGCTAATTTTCTTCCAAGAACGATGGCCGGTATGTCATGTACTATTCAGGCGAGGCCAAACAGATGGTGAGGCATCATTGCGTGGGCGTCGCCGTCTCTGAAGGGACAGATCCCACGGGACCATATGTGCCGAACGAGACGCCACTATCATGCCGACTGGACCAGGGAGGCTCGATCGATCCGGCGGGATTTCTTGATAAGGATGGTAGCCGCTACGTTGTCTTCAAAGTAGACGGCAATAGCATCGGCCATGGTGGAGACTGCAATAACGGCATTGCTCCTCTGGTACCCACACCGATTCTTCTGCAGAAAGTGGGAGATGATGGCTTCACGCCCATCGGAAACGCCATTCAGATTCTTGACCGTGACGATAGCGATGGACCTCTGGTCGAAGCTCCCAACCTTATCCTGCACGGTGACACGTACTTTCTTTTCTACTCTACCCACTGCTTCACGGACACTAAATACGACGTGCGATGGGCGACCTCAAAGTCAATCACAGGCCCGTATGTCAAGACTGGTCAGAAGTTATTCCAAACCGGCGACTACGGACTAACTTCACCTGGTGGAGGCACCGTTTGTGGATGTGGTGACAAGATGCTCTTCCACGGGTTCTGTGAGTCCAACAAGCGATGTACATATGCTGCGAACATTGCCATTTACGGCGATCAGGTTACACTTCTTTAAGTGACGTTTGGTGTTTATGATTGGGCTGGGAGGCGTCCTGGGTTGATACTCTTCTTGCAATATTTTCTGCCACGGTGGGCTATTTATACATACTATTACATATTTTCTATTGTTGAATCCCTTGCGACTGACCTCATTGTCATCAGTCGAATGATTTATTTCTGGAGTGTATTTAAGACCGTTTCTTCGATTTTAAAATTGCTTTGTCAATTGGGGGGTGACTCTTTACAGATTGAATTTTGGTGCTTCCAATCTGTTTAACGTATCATTTCATGGCAAATGTTGTGGGTATCACTGGTCTATATCGTCTTAGACTGTTCTTTTTCCTTCCGTTTGGCTCGAACACTTTTCACCCACTCCTCGACCGTGTTGATAGCAGCCTCTGGCTCATTCTTATAGTTGAGTAGATGACCCTGGATCTCAGCAGCGGTGAATTCACCCTCTGGGATGCGTGATGCAAACTCGGACGCCAGTTCTGCGATCCTTTCCCGTGACAAGCGCTGCGGCTTTCCCCGAGCGACTGCAGCTTCACCATGTTGCTTCTTCCCTTGTCCTGACGCCTTTCTAACGGACTTCATCCTGGATGTCCGCACATCACCCTCGAGCATGCTGTAGATGGCCGAGAAGAGATCGCGCATGGCATTGCGGTCCGTGTATCCGAAAGCAATAGTCATATCGACGCGTCCTGGACGGAGGAGAGCCGGATCCAGCTTCTCCGCATGGTTGGTGGTCATGATGAGGATACGGCCCTCGCTGGCGGCGACTCCGTCGATGACATTGAGCAGACCCGAAAGCGAAACGCCCTTGTTCGAGGTTGTTTCGGACTCCTTCTCCTCGGCGCTAGACTTGTCCTTCTCCACGAGCACGGCGGACGCCGCGGAGTCGTCCTCCGCGCGCTTCTGCGTGATCCCGGCGCTGTCGACGTCCTCGAGCAGCACGATACAGCGCCGCGGGAGCTCCGAGAACAGAGACATCAGACTGTCCTCATCGAGACTCTTTGAGTTCAGACTGAGCAGGTACAGCGTCAAGCCCAGCAGACCGCTCGCCGCAAAACACAGACTCGTCTTGCCCGTGCCCGGCGGGCCGTGCAGGAGGTATCCCCGGCGGTACGGAATCCCGCGATTCGAGTACCACCGTCTCGTCCTCGGATGCAAGTACTCCTTGATATCGTCGATGAACGCCTGCTTCTGCGCCTCGTCCAGCACAACCGTCGACAGCGGCCGCGGCGGCCGCGCCATACACCGCACCCAGTCGAAGTCATCCACCCCGCTCTTCTGCCCGCGGTAGATGATCGTCCTGTTGCCGTCGCGCGCCACATACGCGCGCTGCGCATCGGCCAGCAGCTCCTTGAGGATGCTCGGGTCCCGCCCCAGACACGACAGGTACAGCCGTTCCGGCACCCACCGCAGACTCACGCCGCCGTTGTTCTCCTCCCGCTCCCGGACGAACGCCAGCGGGCGCCCCTTGTACCAGAAGTAATGCGTCCCTTCTGCGGGCGTGAACCGCAGCGTGCGGTACTTGTCCTTGCTGATGACCTTTTGCCAGTATCGATCAAAGTTGGCCAGCATGTCGCTGTTGTCGTTGCCGCCGTCGTCCTCCTCGCAGATGTCCTCGTCGTCCGACCCCTCGCCGTTATCGGAATCCCAGTACCGCATCCCACTGCTGATCTTCGTCCCCGCGACGAAATGCGTCGTCCGCTTCGTGAACGGCTGCTGCGCCATCCAGAACATGAGGTAGTTGTAGATTTCGTCGTCGAGGCGGATCTCCGCCGTCGAGGTGAAGTATTCCCCCAGCAGTCGGGTGAGTTTGTTAATGCTGTAGCGCAGGGAGGCGGTAGCTACGGCGGCCATCAGAAGGAAGGGCAGGTAGTACGATAGGTCGATCTGGAGGTATGAAGCTAGAAGGCGAGAGAGGACAGAGTAGCCGGGGATAAAGGCGTCCAGGACAGCCGTGTCGGATGGGTTGATGATGGTTGTGGCATTTTTGCTGTTGTTGCTGATGTTGTTGCCCAAATACGAGGCCATGGTCGGCAAAGCCATCGACGTGATGACGATGAGAATGAATGAGACAGAAGAAGATCAACCGCCTGCGTCACTCATTATATACGTTTTTCGGGCCTTTATATGCCGTAGGCCCTTGTAGGTCAGCGCACATGTTGCACAGCTGAACAATAGGCATCAACCAACGATGGGCCCACAGCAAGAGCCTCATACGCCTCATGTAGAAAGGTCAGTGTGACTCCAGCCGCATTTTAAATGTCTGTGCCGCGCATATGACTCCATACTAATGAGTAAGAGTCCAGGTTGACCTTGTCGGTGGTCGAGTTGGGCAAAAATTCGGGTGGCACTGCGCTGGGACTGACTCATTGCTGCCAAGTCATTCGACGATCGTGATGCCCGTCGGCTGCGCCAGGGCCAGCTGCGGATCGGACCCAAATGGTTCCACATTTATAGTTAGCAGTCGGATTCCAAAGAGGGTTTGGGCCACTGGTCCATGGGGTTTGAGAGCTGAGGCTCTTATGACCACTTTCTCTAGTAGGTTGATGGATTCTACTCGTGCTTCTAGATGGGTTGATTGAATGTGCCATTCATCTGTGACAGAAAAGATCTAACAAGCAAATGGGTATCTCGATTATTCGTTCGACAATAGTCGACTCTATCAACATTGAACGCTCCAGTAAATGAGACATCAACTGTTTCTCGCAACATCGCCCGTCTATCCACACTCACACGATATTGTCCTTGACGGTCTCGATTATATCACTGGCCCAATTCTTGAGCTCCTCAACTTTGCTCCAGAGAGTTCCCCACCAAGTAGGGCCTTGCTCGTCGTCGCTTTCCGGTTCGTTTTGCGGCTCCGTGCTGGACTCATTTTCAGACGGTGAAGTTGGCTGGACGAGAGCCGTTGATGACACCTGTGATGAAGTTGAGGCCGATGTCATGGTCTGCGAGGAGACTAGGCTCCCGGTAGTGCTGCTGATTGGAGGGTCAGCAGGCCTGTCAACAGCCGGCGCATCTTGATCGGAATGAAGGCCCACTGGCCGTAGAGGAAGGCGCAACGTTCCGTTGTTGGGGAGCGGATCAATCCCCAGAGAATCGCAAACCAAGTTATACACATTGATATTTTCTGCACTCATGTTAGCTTATACACGGATCTTTCTGCTGTAGAAGAGAAATTGCTCACGGAAAACTTCCAACCGGCTGTTGGGTGGATGGGGAAACGCAGGCCCCCTAGCGATGAAGATTGCACGCATCAGAGGATGCTCATGGTCGTAACCATGAACACCCTTCGGATGATAAGCTCGTCCAGTTCGGGTGGCCTCTTGAGCATCAAAGTCTGGTCGCTCGACGATCGCCCATCCCGTCTTGGGGATTACCCAAAGTGGAGCAATACGGTTATTGCGGGAAAAGTGATATCGCTCAGGCATCGTCTCCCGTGTGTAGACTTCCACCGCATGTGCGTATTGCAGCGCCAGGTTTTCCAGCTGATTCTGCAAAATCTCAAGATCCTCAGGCCTTTTCGGCCGTATACCGCGCAATGGCCATCCGTCAATACGATCGACCAGATCGAGATCAATGAAATCGTCTAGTTGTATCAATCGTTCCGTAGCGGTTGTAGCCATACCATGGTCAGAAACAACAAGAAGATTGACAATATCGGTCAGATTGCGGTCTCGAAGGCCCGATATCAACTCGGCCAACATGCTGTCAACCCGCGATATTGTATTTCGGATCTCAGTACTGTTCGGGCCGAACTTGTGCCCATCTGCATCAACATTGGGAACATATGCAGCGATGAATTGCGGTCGCTCGGGGACAATCAAGGACTCTGCTTCTGCGCCTGGCAAGTCGAGCAGGTCCAGAATCCGATCGACTTTTCGCGGGAGCTCTTCTGACCCGTTGTACTTGTCCAAATATGTTGGGTCTACGCCTCCAATGTGCGCTTCGGAGCCAGGCCACATATGAATTCCGGTTTTAAGGCCATGCTTTTCGGCGGTCATCCACAAGGGTTCGGCATTCCACCACTTAGGCTGCATGCTGATTGACTGGTTGGTGTAGTAGAAATCCTCCTTTAGGATAGGATCCCAGAAAGTGTTGCCCACAATACCGTGACTTTCTGGATATAAGCCCGTGACCAAAGTGAAGTGGTTCGGAAATGTGACGCTGGGAAAGCTGGGGAGCATATACTGTGGCGAAACGCCTTCGGCGACGAGCGCATTCAGTGTCGGCGTGAGACCACGGTCGAGAAAGTCCGCCCGGAACCCATCGAGGGAAACCAATATGGTGGTAGGACCAAAGAGAGCGGTACCGTTCGAAAGCAGACGCTGAGGAGAGTGTGATGCCCGGAAGCCAGTAGAGGCTTTGTATGCACCCAGCAAGAATATCAGGAACAAAACCAAGACCGCCGCAAAGACCAGTATCAATTTGGCCCAAGAAATTCGCCGTGGCTACAGTGGGTTAGCAGTTTGAATATGAACAAAAACGAATCCAGAGTCCACCCTCACCCGAATATCCGCATACTGCTTCTCCAACCGCTGATCTAGCTCCGACGACGAGCCGCTCAGGAGCGAGGATTCGGACTCTCGATAGCCCTCTTCCATCTCGTACATCAGCTCCTCATTTTCTCCTGCACCACTATGACGACGCCGTTTGCGCTCATCTTGTCGCTTCATCCTCCGATCCCCATTCCGCTCGTATTTCCCAATCTTGACGCTGCTGCCGTTCGGGCTGAAGATCCGTCGCAGACCATGAGTTGGCCCGCGTCTGACCAACAACTTCTCCATCTCTTCCTCCTCGTCCAGGACTGTACGATCATGTTCGGCCAGCTCTAGTGTAGTGCGCGACTTGCGAAGGAATTCGTCATCTTCGGAGTCAGAGTCCTGCTCTGATAGGGATCGCAAGGAGGAGGCGTCATCGTCGTAATCACCGGGGGTGAGGAGAGACGGACTGAGAAGATCAGGTCTCGGAGGCATGACCGTAAAGGTCTTTTGTCATAACATAGACAGAGTAGAAATTGCAGGGATGAGTGTCCGAGTGTTGATGGCAACCAGCATAGATAATGATCACATCTCCATAATTGAAGTGGATCATGCCTGTCTTACCTAATACAGAATAGCGCCTCTTCCTATCTCCACTCTCTCTTTCTCTCTCTCTCTCTCATCAACGCTCCTCTCTCACAGCACAAAATCTGCCATGTTGAAACATGGTGCTATATTCATCTGATTTTCATTCGAGGATGTGTCGCAGAAAATGATTCACTACGGGGACTATTTGTTCGTCACAAGCAACGGCATACAAGCGCAAGATCAAAGAGAAGAGATACGATGAAATATTAACATCGATATGGAGAAGAATGAGCATATGGACAGACAGATAAAGGTGTCTATAGCAGCTCAATCACCACATCTTACAAATCGGATACTCCAAGCTTGTTTTGGGCATGCTCCGTTCTAATCACCAAAACATGTCCATGAATGGACAGGAGTTCTTCGGACGTATGAGACTTGCCTTCCAACAAGTCCTCTGATGATAAACGGCTAGAGCTGAGAGTAGTATTTCCGAGTCCCGGCAGCAACCTGTTCATCGGAAATGTGAGGGGACTTATCTATCTAGGGCTGGAAAATAATATCCTCGGTCATATATTCCAGCATATGCAATAGACCCGTCGTCTCATACCGCCAGCCTTTGGTGATCGCTATGCTCTAAACCAATGCAGTACAATCGCCTCCAGTCCTCTTTCGACTCCGTCGGTTACATAAAATCCTTAGATGCGTATATGCTCACTCAGGCAATAGGAGCTGATTGCGGGAGAGATCAAATACGCAATCCAGGGCTCATTCTGGTCCTTTCTAGTTGGGACGATGCTTCTTTGGACAAGTTATACGAAAACAAAAGCTTACGCAAGTAAACAACGAACATCGCCATGAGTGATCTGAATCCGTTCGTTTGTTTGTTGGCAACACTGTTTTCCGCTTCCGGCGATGAGTGCCTCCTATTATTTTCCTCTTTGGGGAAGATAGGGTTCAAGTATCCCTGAAGGCGTATGTCACGTGCCACAACATTCCTCTCGCAGACCATCAACATCTGCAGCTGAAAGACTTCTGCAGGCAGTGTTCTACCAGGAATTCGCGCCTAGATAGCTTCTAGAAATAGACAAGCATGTGTCTGCCTCAGTCTCGTGCTCTTCCAGATGCAGTACTCTGCTTTCCTCCATTTATTGACGATCAACCTATTCCAGGAATAGCACTCTGAGTGAACGAGGACGAACATGGACGCGCTTGATCGTCGAATACACTCGATGGAAGCGGCATTGAGGGGCCTCGTTTGTCTATAAGAACCCCGGGACTTCATTCGCCAGCTACCTCCTTCGACATCCTTCATCAGCCGCTATCGAGTCTATCAAGTACTGGTTGTGTATGTGATACCTTCGACTATTTTCCCTCGAACTTCGCGACTTACACCTTGCCTCAGATTCTTCCATCGCTGTGTGCTTTATCTCCCAGACTATCCTACCCTCACACATAATCAAAATGCGTGTCTCCGCTCAGATCATCGCTGGCCTGGCCCTCGCCGCCGGCACCGCCAACGCAAGTCTGTACAGAAGCACACACGAGGCATACACCAGCAGTGCAGTAGCCACTACTCCAACCGACACTGCCACCGTCACCTCCGCTTCTGCGACATCCACCGGCGGCAGCACCCCCATCGTCAAGCACGAGACCTCCGCCACCGAGACCAACACTTCTGCCGCCGAGACCAGCACCCCCGCCACAACCGAGAGCTACGGTCCCTCCGTCCACTCCAACGCTGCTGTCCCTCCCTCCCAGACGAGCGTCCCTCTCATCAAGCCCAGCGCCGCAACCTCCGCCGCTGCTAGTTCCGGCGCCGCCGGCAGCTCGACTGCCTCTCATGCCAAGCCTACCGGCTCTGGCGACTACGTCGGTGTCGTTCATGAGACTGGGGAGCCGAGCAGTGGTGGCAGCAGCAGCAGCAGCAGCAGCAGTGGCAGTGGCAGTGGCAGCGGTGGTAACAGTGAGACTAATCCCTCCAGCCGCCTTCATACCAGCCCTGGCTCCAACCTCGTAGTGCCTGGTCTTGCTGCTCTGGGTAGCCTTGCCGTTGGCCTGATGGTTTTGGTTTGAGCGGGACTGCCCTGATTATGCTTGACAGCGATGTCAGTGAAAAGGATGAGGGAGATTAGATACGATGTTATCGATATCAGGCGATGATTTTGGCTTGTGGGCTCAGGGACTGAATCTATCTGTTGAACGCCATCATATTCTTGGCGTTAGGGATCTATTATAAAGCAATTTAAATTAATGATTAATTCCTAGATCAAAGTCCAGCTTTTCTCTACATGAACAATCAGCATTTTGACAAGACTCTCGTACATTAAAGACACAAGCACATGTGATTGCAAAAACTTTTCTTCTCTCGAATCCAGATCGGAGATCACGACCTAGAAACCCAATTCGCCCACTGGCACGAACAACCCCCCGTCCCTCCATCAACTCCATCCTGCATCGAACCCTCGTCCGACGAAGAGGTGAGGTTGAATATACCCGGCGCCGGGTTGACCAGTTTCCCACCGAACCCCCTGTCCTCGATCTGCAGCTTCTTCTCCGTCGAGTTGACATGTTGGTTCTCCTCCATCGCGTAGCAGTACACCATTTTCTCCTTCGCAGCGCCGCCGTGCCGGTCCACCGTAATGGTCACCGGGTACGGGAATGATCCCGGCCGGGTGAAGTCCGTGGCGGAGGATGATGCGGTCGGGCTACTCGTCTCTGAGGCGGGAGAGGTAGATGACCGAGACGATGGGGTGGGTGTGGTACTAGCACTGGCACTGGCGCTGGCGCTGGGGTTACTGCGGAGGAGTGTCTTGCCCGCGCGAGTCGGCTGCGTCCAGATCTGCACGAGGAAGCGAGTCTGTGCCCATGTGCAGCGGACGCGGGCGTCCGTCTCGCTGGCGCCGCCGTTGGCGTCTGCGGCGGAGTTGTCTGTTGTGCTGCCGTTGAGCGGGGCAAGGGTCTCGAGGAAGATGGAGCGGTCGAAGTACGTGTAGAAGCCGTAGTGTTCTGTGTCCAGGCCCCGGTTGTAGAGGCGTACGGGCTGGGATTCAGGGAGTGGGTAGAGGGTAGCGGCTGCGGCTGTGCCGTCGGAAGTGAGATCGGGAGATGGGATGAGTGACTCGATGTCTGGGAAGGAGGTGTTGGATCGGCGGGACAGTCGTGATGAAGAGAGGGAGGTGGTCGAGAGGAAGGTGATGAAGAAGGGGGTCTCTTCGCCTGCGTAGGGGATGGCGTTTTGATCGGTCGTGTTGCCCAGGAAGGTCTGGTCCTTGATGCTCGGGGGTGATGGCGACGGGTTGAATGATCCGCTTGTATCTCTGATCTTGTGGCTTGAAGTGGAGGCAACCGTTGTGCTGTTCGCATAGGTCCCGTTACGGAATCGTATCTCGACTCGGAAGCTGGGCTGGTTCGGCGCGTACGGCTTGTTGGTTGACTGCTGTTCCGGCGGCAGAGCGCAGCTCCAGAGTGTGGATGGAGTGATGCATCCTGAGTTTTGGACTTGTGGCTCTGAGCCTGCTATTGTCGCAATGCCAGTCGGCATCGGTGGATAGCCGGTCAAATTGAGCCACTGCGACTGAACAGGTGTCCCGTCCCCTTTCCTGGTCAGCATGACTGCAAGGATAATGGCGACTACCACAATCAGGACAAAAAAAGTCGTGATCGCCATATACCATCGACGTCTCAGGCGCCCTTCTCTTCCCGGCCTTCCGAAGCAGCCTTTGCTGCTGAAACAGCCTCTTCCTCGCCAAAGTCCACCAGCTTTCCTGCCAATAGCATCCTCTTTCTCCAGTCTTCGTCGCCGGGTTTCGATCCTCTCCCTTTCGAACCAAGGGTGCGTCATCTGCTCTCGAGTGATGGGCACAGGATCTATACGAGGCGGCAGTGCAGGAGAGGCGCTGCGGTTGGAGGTATAGGCTGGGGTTGGGCCAGAAGTCATCTCAGTTAATGGAATTGACCCACTCCTCACTGTTGCTTGCTGTAGACCCGGAGACGTGGCGTCTGGGGTTTGTGGCTGGGGCTGCCCGCCATGATTCGGAGGTGGCACAACAATATATTGAGGGATGATTCTCTCCTGCGGAGCTCCAGAGGCCGGTGGTAGTGGTGCAGGTGGTTGGATATTAATGTTAGTGGCCGCAGGAGTGATAGTGTTCGTTGGTTGGAAGAAAAGGTGAGAGGCTTGTTTCTCCGGTCGATCCACTGCATAGGCAGGAGGTTCTCTCTCAATGTGTTCTGGCGCATGAGGGCTGCTTCTCGGTCCTCCTAGTGTGACCTCCTCCAGATTCTTCTTTCCCGCACTCGAAATGGAAGGAGACTCGGGTGGATCATCCACAGCGGTGGTCCCAGATATCGAACGAGCGCCAGAATGCGAGGCGCTTTCGAAAGGATTCACAGGACCAGATTGAGACACATTATCATCGACGTCAATAAGGAGATTCTTCTCATTACTCGCTGGCTCGGCAATAGAACCCCCAAGCAGAACCGGGATCCTATCCTTCGGCGTGATGGAACAAACATGGTTGATGCATTCAAAGTACGGTCTTCCGCTGAATAGCTCATGGGCGCATGCCTGGTAGTATTCAGCAGCTGCGCCCTGAATCGTTTCCCCCGGGAACATCATCTCAGCCGTATTCTTCTCATGGGCGGTGGTGACATGCGTGGAGTCGACATCCGCGAAGGGGTTAGCATCATCCCCATGCCAGTTCGTCACTTCGCCTCTTGTGGCAACGGTCGTCTCAGGGGTATCTGGCGAGAAGTACGAGACTTCCTTTTCCCACCACTCATCGCTTGACACGGTCGAGGTCGTGAGGAGCGTCGGCATGGGAGGCCGCTCCGTTTTGGTCGGGGTCGATCTACTGGCTATCGTGCTTGACCGTCCCAGCATAGGCGACAGGAGATAAGTCCACCAGCCCTGGGATTGGTGTCGGTTGGTATCCGTCATCAGACTCAGTCGATCCAGCCCTCTCTTCGAGCTCTCCGTGGAGAAAGAACGAGCACGCAGTCCCTGTCGCGGACCATCATCTTCCTCAAACACGGTGCCAGTTGAGAACGAGCGTTGCTTCCTTGTTGACAGGACAGACTCCCGCTGAGACACGTTGGAATGACTCTCCTTCTCCTCGAAATGAGATGCCGGTATGGCTGGCACAGGTGGAACCTCAGGCCTGCCACTTCCAAGGAATGACGTGCGCTGAGAATAGATACTGGAGGCCGCCCTGGGACGATGGATCTCGGGAGCAAGACCTTGCCAGAAGCCCTCGTCTTTAGCGGGAGTTACAACAATCGAAGGCGTCAAAGGCGTACGCTGGCTCCCAGCGCTGTCCAGTCCCTTTGTTCTGTCCTCTAGAGACTGCGACGATTCCTCGAATGGTACCGTATACCCGATCATGATGGGCCGATCAGAAGGCGACAGCTCATCCTTATACTTCTTCTTCTTCTTCGGCGACGTTGTAATCTCCGACCTGAGCCAGGACAATCGCCTTCTCCCCGGCTCGGACGCCTCGTCGGGTAGTCGCTGGAAGCCTTGAGCCGTCCCATTCTTCAGGATGCCCCTGATCTTCTGCGCGGACCGTTCTCTCTCGCGAACTCTCGACAACACCTTCAGATCATTCAGATCCACAAACATAGGACCGGCCGCCCCGGTTTGTATCTTGGGAACTCCAACCGGAAGATCCGTGATTAAATTCAACCCCTTGGGTTTATCCACATTCCTCCTCTCAATCCCGGCGCCGCTGCCATCCACCTTTCCCTGCGCCGCTCTCCGCGCACTATCAAACACACCGATCTCGCGTTCCACCAAGCGATCGCGCCCCGCGCCTGTGGATTCCGTCTTAAGTAACGCGTTCTTCTCCGACAGCTTGGCCAGGTAGTCGAAGGGACGACTCCGTTCCATCTCTCTGTCTTCATCCGAGGACGCGGCCGGGCTGGAGATCTCCTCAGTGATCGGGGACGAGAGCGGGAAATTTGGGATTTGGGGGATCTGCAGCTGCATCTCTGGCCTTTTCGGTTGAGGAGCCATCTCGTCTCTTAACTGTAGGAAATCGTGTTAGACTCGAGCGCCTCTCTTTCAGTATATGTTTCTGAGGTCCTAGGACATACCAGGAGGGGGTTCGATAGGCTTAATAGCAAGCCAGTACGTTGTAGGACGAAATTCGCAGGAGTCTTCAGAGGAAGAGCAGGCCGTTCATCTGGACTAATTCAGGCAAAGAAATCTCGCAAGCATAAAGGGCTTTTAACAAAGCATATGCGAGAATCCAGTGAATAAAGAGAGACAATAACCACTGAATGAAAGAACACAACAAGGAATCAGTTATTGTTCTCATCACACGGTAACAATGCAGATATGCCGCAGATATGAAAGAGAAAGTACTCCAAAGCAAACAAGATAGAAGCCCAAGTACCCTGCAACACCAGCCAGACGGATCTAAGAAAGAAAAAGAGGACAAGAGCGCAAGACCGCTGCAGAAATGGAAAGCTTTACGTACCGACCAGTTATGGATCTAGAGCTCATTCCTCAGGTACTTGCCCACCACGCCAGTGAAGCATTGTGTTGATCTCCTCTGGCCTTGACGCACGACGCAGTCAAATCTCCGAGCTCCATAGCTGCTACAGTGGCTGTTGCGATTTTGCCGGTCAAATCGCCTTGATTGGACTGAAGTCGACTACCAGATTCTGCAGGATGAGGATCAAGATGGGATTTCGAAGATGTGATTGGGTCAATGGGGGACCCTGACGAAAGCTGTAGCCGCCCTGCTCTCAACTCCAGCCGGGCGCTTAGAGAGGAGGATTGATACGGTTATTAGGAGGCAAGAGTGCCAATCAGAAGCAGATTGACCAAAAATAGAGCCAGGAACGGGTTTGATTTGATTCGCAGAGAGATTCGAGTCTGCCAACGGGAGGAGACAGAGCGTCATCGCCCTGGACGGTCTGCTTACTGACGGAATACTCTGTACCATATCTCAAACACAAAACATGCGAGGAAGGCTTCACCTTGCTCTTCTGAAATTTTATTCCTTTTCAACTGATCATACAGAAACACCGCCAATCCTGTTGGTCGAGTCCTCGTGAGTGACGGATAGAAACATGCCATCAAATGTATCCCATACCATACCCAAAACCAATTGCTCTTGGCGTATCCCATCTCCCATGCAGAACCAGTAGACATGTCATGATGCAAGAAGATAGAACAAATCAATAAAAACAAGCGAGAATAGAGAAAATCGGAGCGTGCAAAAAGAAAAGGGGCCCGTCGTTGTAGCACATACACATCCTCACAGCATTTGCAAAACTATGTCACGAGATCAAAAGAAGAACGAAAATGAAAAAGACGATCGGGGTATGAATTGCCCTGGGCAAAAGTGATAAAAAAAAGCCAACAGACAAAGTCTCGCTCAGAACAAGATACACCACCCGAATGAGATCTACAGGCGAGGAACATACCGTTTCAGATCCAGGGCACGGAGTCAGGAGAAAAGGAAGAATCAAAAGTATGTAGCTTGACACGAGACAAAATCGCCGCTATGTTGAAGCTTGGGGCATGGTATCATAATTCAAATCAAACGCCTGGCTAGGATGACAGACTACCGACGGTCGTCGGTATATTGCACTCCCTGCATCGGAGCAACGGAGCCGTTCACCAGTGGAGGCAATGTGCGTGGTTGATCTTGCACCATTGCAGAATTAGGGCCATAATTAGAGAAGGCCGGACCAGGACCATGCGACTGCCCATTGGCTTGTGGTCCGTTCATTGGGTGATGCTCGAATATTGACGGAGGTCGCGACTGTTGGTGCGTTTGTTGTTGATTCAGCTGAGCTCGCATCTCTTCAACCTCGCTCTTCAACACGTCGTTTTCACGACGGGCGTTACTCAACATCTTCTCCAGTTGTCCAATGTATTCGATCGCTAGATTCAAGTCAGTATAAGGCGATCAAAGAAGCGATGAGAAGCCTAATACCTCTTGTCAGAGTTTCCCATTTGCTGGACTTGTTGTTTTGGCTCTGAGGTAGCCGCATGCGTAATGCCTCGAAGCAATCCTTCATCTCACTGCGACGTTTGCGCTCCGCTAACTTGTGAGTTACCCGCAGCTCGGGCGTGCGGCTGTATGGAGTACTGTTGGTGGGTGGTTCTGGGTCTCCGATGAGATCGCGTACTTGTTTGTGCTGCAGGGTATGGTGGTGGTGGACATTCTGAGGAAGTTCTGGAGGGCAGTAAGCATGTTGTTTGAAGCTACAATTGCAATACTGGAAAACAAAGGTGTTAAACCTACCATGTTGGCCACGGGGCAAGCGCGCATCCGAGTAGATACTACTGGCCAATGATTCGGCGGTGCTTCCCTTCCTTGAGAATGGATGTTGAGATTTGTCGTTTGTGGAAGACATCGAGTTGGATCGCGCAACATCCGGGTCCGGAAAGGCATAGGCAAGACCGGCGGTAGGCGTCTCCGCGGCATAAATTTCGGAGCGAGGATTCGACGAAATTGCGGGAGCAGTACGGCCAGCCGCGAAGCTACGGTGCTCCCCGGCTCGTGGGCCAAGTGGAGAGAGGGGCTGGCTCCCTGAGTAGCGAGGTCCTCGGTATGGACTGTTCATATTTACGTCCATGGAAATTCCACGTTCCCTCTGCAATCCCGACACAATCGATGTCTGGGAGGCGTTTGTGCTGTGGTAAGGAGAGGCGGGATTGATGGCCAGAGAGCTGATTCCCTGATTCATCCTGCTATCAACACTGCTGCGCCGTGATTCGGGTGGCTCTGCAATGCTGCCGCGTTGAGAAGGGGCGTCGAAATTCTGGTTGAGGGATGGAAGGGCTGGATTTGGCTGGGAGCCAAAATTAGGGGACGGTTGAGCGCCGGCAGAGGAAGGGGTATTCGTATTCGAGTGGTCATTCGGGTAGGGAGATCGCTCGGAGACAGACCCACGATTCGGAGACGGTTGAGAGGAAGTGAGGAAGGAGAGAGAGGGATAATTGCCGGTTCCGTTCGTCGTCGTGGAGTAGGTGGACGATCCTGGTACGTTGTCAGTGCCTGACATGGCCGATGTAGAACAAAGGACCATACTTGTGCTTTGAGGCATTGACCAGTTTCCCGAGTCGCGTTCTATCGTGTTCAACGAGGCATTCCCTGGCGACTTCTCTGCGGGGAGAGGTATGTTGCTGGTCATACTTGCGGTGAGAGTTGAAATCGAGGGTAGTGTTTGCGCAGACGAGACCGGAGCAGTCTGCGGCCCTGTTGTGGTAGGTTCCCACGGCCGGTGGGTTAAAGTGGTTTCCATGGCGGACGAAGAGCGGTTTTAGAGTGGTGATGATGGTGAAAAATTCGAAAATCGTGGTTATGCCGATGATGACTTATAAGGTGTGATACGTCAATTTGCTCATACTATTTCATAATCCGGGTGATAGGCCACGTAAACACTCGATGTGTGGACGGCAGTACGAATATAGTCGCAGAACGAAGAGAGGAGCAGTGAAGTAAATGTGCTAGCGATTATCGTCACAGCGAGGGATTGGAGAGAATCCGAATGCGACGGGAACTGGTTCCACGCTCGATATATTGAAGTATGCCAATCACGCTGCGAAGGTAGAAGAAAGTCCTCCGCGGGGCTATATCGGAACGTTGACGGTCGCAATTCGCATATCAGCTTGCAATTTATGATATCAATTCGAGTGATCACGAGTGGTGAAATTCGGGTCTCCTTCAACCGCAGTCCCGGCTCGGCGATGCGACCTGGGGGGTGTTTCTCAGTTGGCGCAATCCAAGAGCTCGGTCGACACGGACGAGGAAAAGGGCGCAGGACAATCGAGACCACGCGACGAGTGTTTCGCAATGCGCAAGACCGCGAAGTTCAAGTCGAACAGACGAGAGAACAAGGAGATTGTCGGACGGGTGGTTGCGTGCAGGCGGGCCCGTCGTTTGTAGTCAGAGCGATGTTCTAAGTGGTCGGCGGGAAGGATAAGAGGTGGAGGACGGTGGCAGAATAGCCGGACTGCAGTAGTACAGTCGAGACCGCCGGCGCACCAAGGAAGGGAACAAAGAAAAGTTGAAAACGGAGTCAAGACTCGTATACTCGGACAATATTTTTCTCTGAGATAATGTCAGAGTCGCGTCAGTTTGGATCGACAAGAGTTACCAGGGAAAAGAGGTGGTAACCAATAATAAGGACAGTGGGAAGAGCAGCACGATCTTCCAGCGATCGATCGCACAAGAGCTTACCTGTTGCGAAAAGTACAGCGTGCTCGGAAGGTCGGAAGGTGTGGTGAAACGTGGCACAAGGGAGGTTTTTGCAAGGCGAATGACGATGAACAATTGGGCAGTAAGAGCGAAATAAGGCCAGATCCGCTGTAGAACTCTTTATCAGACCCCGTCCGTGTAGACACAAGGTGCGTGGATGCGAAGAGCAAATACTTTTTATGAGGAAGAGGGAGGGAGATAGGGCAAACAAGGACGGGAAGAGTCGTTGTTCTGACTTTTATCAGACAGCCATGAGCCGGCAAAATTGGGGCGACTGGGAAATTTGGCTCTCTCCTCGTGTCTTGATAGTTTGAACTTGGGAGTCGGGACTTGGGAGTGGATTGGGATTTGGGAGAGCCTAGCAGCGGGAACTATCGATGAGTGCCCGGGCTAGAGCGTTTCGAACTTCGAATGAGCACTGAAGAGTGGAACAGAGACAAGAAGGAGTGTAAACTCTGAAGGAACGGGGGAAAAAAAAAAAAAAAAAAAAGAAGGGCTTGAAAGGTTTGACTCTGATCGCCACGAGTTCTAGTTGAGCCCGGCCGAAAAAGCGGGGAAATGGCAGAAGGGACTGCAGTAAATGATATGTATAAGAATTGTGATATGAAACGAGGGAGGAAGAAGGGGAAAAGATGGTGAGAAAATGGAAAGCAGTCTTGTGTAGTAAGTACTACTTTAGATAGTACGAAGTAGACTGTGGGAAGAGTAGGGGAAGACCTCGTGGCGATGATAATGATGGATGAGGAGGAGGATGTATGGGGTAGTATGCAGTGGCAGCGGCTGCAGCAGTGGT